AAACCTGTCATGTAGTAAGTGACTCAGAACTTAGATGGTTGCGGTTTGGTACAGCCAGGCTGGGCAAGGCACAGAGGTGCAGTGGAAGCCATGGCAAATCTTCTGTGTATCCTGAAAGCTTTGCTTTTGAGGGAAGATCTGATTTTGGGGAAAGAACAAGAAGATATCCAGGACATTATTTCCTCAGGTGACTTCTATGAAGGGACCAAGACTCACAGGGTGGTATAAATTCAGGAAGCTATCAGTAGGAGCACAAAAGAATTTAAGAGTAGGTGGACAGAAGGAGGGTTGCTGGCGTATCAACTGTACTTGAAGGAGAAACACAAAGGAGCAGGGGAAGACTTAAAATCGGGTCTCTGACAGTGGGATGTGAGTGGTATGGATCAAGAAAAATGTTCAAGTGAGGGAGTTGAACCAGATACAAAAACTTTCTGGAGAAGCAGAGAGCAGGCTACAGGGATCTTTAGCATCTCCTTCCTGACCATGAAGGGAAAGCAAGGAAGACCTTCAGCCCAGTTGCCTTTAGAAGGTAAGTGAGGACCAGGCCATCCCCACCTGCTGGTCACCAGGTCAAAGGTAGTATCCTAGAGTGATGGGGGATAATGTATGTAGGGCATATGTGATTCTACTGAACTTTTAAACACAGAATGACTTGTAGAATAAATCCTCTGTAATGATGGGTCTTGGGCTTCCCAGGTGGCACTAGTGGTAAAGAACCCACCTGACAATGCAGGAGACATGAAAAAAGAAAAAGATGTGGGTTCGATCCCTGGGTTGGGAAGATCCCTGAAGAAGGGCGTGGCAACCCGCTCCAATACTCTTGCCTGTAGAATCCCATGGACAGAGGAGCCTGGTGGCCTACAGGTCAGAGAGACTCAAAGAGTCAGACATGACTGAAGCAACTTAGCATGCACTCAATGATGGGTCTAACAAAGGCAGGAAGTCCCACTAAAAAAGTATTAGAACCAAACAAATTTATCTATATACCAGATGTTTCAAATTCAGTGTCTGACCATATCCTGGGCCATGAAACAAATCCAAGTAAATTTAAAATATTTTAGATTATACTGAGTTTGTTCTCTTATTATAATGGAGTGAGATTAGAAATCAACAACAACAAAATACCCAGGAAAACCCCATAACTTGGAAATTAAATAACATTCTGCTAAACTATCCATGATCAAAAATAAAAAAAAAAATCAACAAGGAAATCAGAAAGTATTTCCAGCAGCATGGTAATGAAAATAAAGCTTTTCAAAATCTGTGTGATGCAGCTAAAGCAGTGCTTCAAGGGAAACTGATAGCTGTAAATAATTATATTAGAAAAGGAGAAAGCTAAAAAGTCAATGATTTGGACTTCCTGGTGGTCCAGTGGCCAGGCCTCTCCATACTCCCAATGCAGGGGACCCAGGCTCCGTCCCTGGTCAGGGAGCTAGATCCCACATGTTGCAACTAAGACCCTGAGCAGCCAAATAAATATTTTTTAAAAAGTCAATGATCTAAGGTTCCACCTTAAGAAGTTATTAACAGAAAAAGAAGAGAAAAGTAAATCCAAAGTAAGTAGAAGGAAGGACATAATAAAGGTAAGAGTAGAAATCAAAGGAATAGAAAAGAAACTTTTCTTTTCCAAAGAGACTGGGCTTCTCTGGTGGCTCGGATGTAAAGAATCTGCCTGTAATGCAGGAGACCCAGGTTCGATTCCTGGGTGGGGAAGATATTCTGAAGAAGGGGATGGCTACCCACTCCTCTATGTTTGCTTGGGAAATCCCAAGGACAGAGGAGCCTGGCTGGCTGCAGTCCATGGGGTCACAAAGAGTCGCACTCGACAGAATGACTAACACTTTCACTCAGAAAAGAGACAAGAGAAAATTAACAAGCTCAATCATGTTTTCTGACACATTATTCCCCTCTCTCTTCCTTCTAGTCACAGCACATTGGATGAGAATTCATTTGGAGCGGGGGAAAGAGTATGAAATAATAGTTCCTTCCTTTGGAGTTCTTGATATTTGTATCTCACAACCAGAGAGAACTTTTTTTGCCAGTAGGTGGTGGCGCTGTCACCTTGAAAATCCGGACAGGCTGACTTCTGGGTGGCTTGGGGACCAAAGATAGCCTGGGGCTGAAAGGAAGGCATCATTTCAAGATCAGTTCAGTCGCTCAGTCATGTCCGACTCTGCAACACCATGAATCACAGCACGCCAGGCCTCCCTGTCCATCACCAACTCCCGGAGTTCACTCAAACTCATGCCCATCGAGTCAGTGATGCCATCCAGCCATCTCATCCTCTGTCGTCCTCTTCTCCTCCTGTCCCCAATCCCTCCCAGCATCAGGGTCTTTTCAAATGAGTCAACTCTTCTCATGAGGTGGCCAAAGTACTGGAGTTTCAGCTTCAGCATCAGTCCTTCCAATGAACACCCAGGACTGATCTCCTTTAGGATGGACTGGTTGGATCTCCTTGCAGTCCAAGGGACTCTCAAGAGTCTTCTCCAACACCACAGTTCAAAAGCATCAATTCTTCGGCACTCAGCTTTCTTTATAGTCCAACTCTCACATCCATACATGACCACTGGAAAAACCATAGCCTTGACTAGACGGACCTTTCTTGGCAAAGTAAGTCTCTGCTTTTTAATATGCTATCTAGGTTGGTCATAACTTTCCTTCCAAGGAGTAAGCATCTTTTAATTTCCTGGCTGCAGTCACCATCCGCAGTGATTTTGGAGCCCCCAAAAATAAAGTCTGACACTGTTTCCACTGTTTCTCCATCTATTTGCCATGAAGTGATGGGACCAGATGCCATGATCTTAGTTTTCTGAATGTTGAGCTTTAAGCCAACTTTTTCACTCTCCTCTTTCACCTTCATCAAGAAGCTTTTTAGTTCCTCTTCACTCTCTGCCATAAGGGTGGTGTCATCTGCATATCTGAGGTTATTGACATTTCTCCCGGCAATCTTGCTTCCAGCTTGTGCTTCTTCCAGCCCAGTGTTTCTCATGATGTATTCTGCATATAAGTTAAATAAGCAGGGTGACAATAGACAGCCTTGATGTACTCCTTTTCCTATTTGGAACCAGTCTGTTGTCCCATGTCCAGTTCTAACTTGCTTCCTGATCTGCATATAGGTTTCTCAAGAGGCAGGTCAGGTGGTCTGGTATGCCCATCTCTTTCAGAATTTTCCACAGTTTATTGTGATCCACACAAAGGCTTTGGCATAGTCAATGAAGCAGAAATAGATGTTTGTCTGGAGCTCTCTTGCTTTTTCGATGATCCAGCAGACGTTGGCAATTTGATCTCTGGTTCCTCTGCTTTTTTTAAAACCAGCTTGAACATCTGGAAGTTTACAGTTCATGTATTGCTGAAGCCTGGCTTGGAGAATTTTGAGCATTACTTTACTAGCATGTGAGATGAGTGCAATATTTCAAGATAGGAGAAGTCAATTCTGGAAAGTAAATCCTCACTTTTAGAGCAGGGAAGTTAGAGATTATACATGCAAAAACACACACATGCAGAGTGCTGAAGCCGAAATCCCCGTGGAATCAAAGTTTGAAACACTTGCCCTTTAAAACCTGGGTTTCTGGGGGACTTCCCTGGCGGTCCAGTGGTTAGGACTCCAGGCTTCTAATGCAGGGTGTTCAGGTTACATTCCTGGCTGAGGAACTAAGACAATGCTTGCCACCCGGGTGAGGCTACCTCCAAAACAAAACAAAGAACCCCAAAACAACCCCCTTCCCCCACTTAATTGGAAGTACTGTAGGCCCGAACCTGAGGCTAAGAAAACTCCCATTGTGTGCAAATCAGGGCCACCCTCTCCACAACCGCCATTCTAAATTTCTATCAGATTTCCCAAACGCAACTGTAGTGCACTGGACTTAAAACAATTAAGATCCCCTGCCTAAGAATGCGGCATTAAACACCACTAATAAGTTAATCAAGCAGGAGTCTGGGCTGTCAAGGGAGGAGGTGGAGTACCCTCAGGCCTTGGGTGGGACGTGGGAAAGGCTGATACAGCCAGTGGCTTTTACAATTTTTTTCTTCCTCCACGGTCCCTGCTGTGAAAAGCCCCTTGGGGAGTTTGGAGTGGAAATTTTGCAGACCTACTGGGTGCATCTGCGTTCTGGTTAAGTCGCTCAGTCGCGTCTGACTCTGCCATCCCATGGACTGTGGCCTGAAAGGCTCCTCTGTCCGTAGGATTCTCCAGGAGTGGGTTGCTCTGCGTTCCTCCAGGGGATCTTTCCAAACCAGGGATTGAACCTGTGTCTCTGGCGTCTCCTCCTTTACCACTAACGCCACCTGGGAAGCTCTACAGAGGTGCTTTTCCTAAATGTCCTCATTTAATCTTTGCAGTAATCCTTTTTATTACCTCTCCAAATCCCTTAAGAAGGCACTTAATGGAGTGCTTGCTGGCTTTCGTGGTTCCGGGTTTTAAGTGAATGCACACACTGATTATTCCCCTCTTTTACACTCACACAAGACTTCTGCGCGATTCCCTTCGTTTAAATGAACTTGCCTTTAAAAACAGCCTTTCATTTATTTCTTTGGTCTATTTCTTTCTAACAAGAGTCACCCTCAGGATTGGCAGCAGGAACGTAGACAGGAGGCAGGAGGCAGTACGATTTTCGGTTGAATTTAGAAGACAGTCCTGGAGTCTCACTTTTCCCTTCTACCCGGCTCACAAGGTATCGGGTGGCCAGGGCTGAGTTTGGGCGGGAGAAGCCGGGCCAGAGCTCCCGAGACCGAGTCCGCGCGGGGCTGGTGGGCGGCAGAGCGGTTGAATGGGGTCGGGATTTAGCCCCTCGTGGCCGCCACCCGGCTCGCCCCAGCCCCGCCCGGAGGCGGCCGCTCCAACCGTGAAGGGAGCCGGCGAGAGGCTCCCAGGATCCCTAGTGCTCCACGGCCGGCGCTCGGCGAGTCCGCAGCCTCTAGGTCGCCGACTAGCTGGGCTGGGCGGCCACTGCTGAGTCCTTCTTTGCCTCTGCGTCCCGGGCCTCGGAGTCGCCGAGAGGAGGATGAGTCCCTGGAGCTGGTTCCTGCTGCGCACCCTCTGCCTCCTGCCGGTGAGCTCTGGCCCTCCGTGCAGCGTGCCCGCCTCTGCTAACTGCGAGCTCAAACCCCCAAATAAGGCGCGCGGTAGGCGCGGACGCTGCAGCCTCCTGGCACCTCCCGGGGGATGGGGTGGTTACCTCCCATCCTCGCCAAGCTCCGCGCTCTCGAACCCCGAGCCGACTCGGCAGGCCAGGCTCCCACCTGCCTTGGCGGTTCCTCCTATCTCACACTTCTCGCCGCGCCCCCGGTTCCTCTTTCCGGTGGGGGCGCAGCCCTCCGGCCACACGAGACTCTCTCCCCCAGCCCTGCCGTCTGTCAACCGAAGGGAGTCTCGGGCCAGATCTCCTGAGTCTCGCCAGCCTGCTTCGCTGGAGATTGGGGCTCGAACCTGCGAAGACCCGGTGGGCCCGGAACTTGGGCTCCTTTACTTTGAAGTTTGTTCTGCCCGCTCTTCCGTAGCGTTTCATTTCTGCTCTTACGGAAATGGTAACAAGCCCGCAGCAGTTGCTTGATTTAACCTTTGTCTATTCAGTGCCTGAGTTAGGAAGGATTTGGAGACTTCCCTGATAGCTCAGTTGGTAAAGAATCCGCCAGCAATGCTGGAGATCTCGGTTCGATTCCTGGGTCAGGAAGATCCCCTGGAGAAGGGAAAGGCTACCCACTCCAGTATTCCGGCCTGGAGAATTCCATGGACAGTCCATGGGGTCGCAAAGAGTCAGACACGACTGAATGACTTTCACTTTAACTTAGGAGGGATTTGGGAGAACTGAAGTCATCCCCCTGATTTACTGATATGGGAAACTGAGGCTCACAGAGGGACATTTGGACTTCAGGTCACGGAGCACGTTCCTGGAGAGACCAGGTCTGACAAGCACTGTGCGCCTCGTTAGAACTTGACATCAGCGTTTTGGGGTGAGGGGAACCTAGGTGAGAGAGGCACAGTGACCTGCTCGGGCCCACCCAGCCCTATTGGAACAGAAGCCGAACGGAAACGCCGTAGGTCTGGCGTCTCCGGCGCTGGACTTCTTTCGAGGAGAGCATTTCCTTTTCATGATCAATTTTCTTACTCTCGGAATTTTCTGCCTTTCTAAAGTCCCTCTCTTATGAGCGGTGTGGAAGTTGAATTTTGCGAATTTGCATCAGTGGTTTCAGTCTCTGTGGAGCCCTGGTGTGGTGGGTGGTCGTAGACCTTGCACCCTCGGAAGCCGAGGGCCAGAGTTCGGGTATCTGCCCACCTTCCGTGATTCCTGCGCAGCATCAGAGGTCGCGTGATTTTATTCATTGTCCTAACCTCAGCGAGGGAGAGGGTGACCTCACTGAGCCATTCCTGGCGCACGGGTTGCCTAGGAAGTCACACTGTGTTCCTATGACGCCCTGGGCTAGGGACCTGGGGAAGCTGTCCATCTAGTGGAGGTCAGACAGTCAGTGGCAAGGCTGTTTGAACACCTAAAGAGAGCTGTGGATGGGTTCTTCAGGGGATGAGATTGTAGAGTCAGGCTCTGGAATTTAGCCTCCCACCCCGTGTGGCTGCTTCCTGCTACATTCTGGAAGAACTGTGGCTTGAGAGCTGGCTTGGTTTTCAACTTTCGTTAATCACTAGGGAGATCTTCTGAGTCAACTTCAGCCACAGACAAGGCAGGCTTTACCCAGAGCACGGCACAGGTTGTTGATATTGTTCAGTTGCTCAGTCGTGTCTGACTCTTTGTGACCCCATGGACCGCAGCACACCAGGTTTCCCGGTCCTTCACTGTCTCCCAGAGTTCTCTAAAACTCATGTCCATTGAGTCAGTGAAGCCATCCAACCATCTCACCCTCTATTGCCCCTTTCTCTTCCTGCCTTCAGTCTTGCCCAGCATCAGCGTCTGTTCCAATGAGTAGGTTCTTCACATCATGTGGCAAAGTATTAGAGCTTCAGCATCAGTCCTTCCAATGACTATTCATGATTGATTTCCTTTAGGATTGACTGGTTTGATCTCCTTGCAGTCCAAGGGACTCTCAAGAGCCTTCTCCAGCATCACAGTTCGAAAGCCTCAATTCTTTGGCACTCAGCCATCTTTATGAGCTTTCTTCTTTCCTTATCAACATTTAAACACAACTCTAGAGTTCTTTACTACCCCTGCTGGAGTCTGTGCCACTTACTGTTTCTCCCCACAGATATCCACATGCTCCCGTACTTCTAGCTGGGTTTTGCTCAAATTCTTTCAAGAAGATCCTTCAGGATTGCCTATTAAAGATTGCCTATTAAAGATGTCATTCTCATCCCTCCACCCACCTGCCCTCTTATCTGCTTTACCAGCTTAATTTTTTTTTACTTAAAAATTACTTATTTATTTTTAATTGATTGATGATTGGTTTACAATATTGGTTTGATTTCTGTCACACATCAACATGAATTAGCCATAGGTGTACATTTGTCCCTTCCCTCTTGAGTCTCCTTCCCACCTCCCAGCCATTCCCACCTCTCTAGGTTATTACAGAGCCCCCATTTGAGTTCCCTGAGTCATGCAGCATATTTCCATTGGTATCAGCTCACATATGTTAGTGCCTATGCATTCATGCTATTCTCTCCATTTATCTCACCCTCTCCCTCTTCTCCACCAGCCTTGCCCATAAATCTGTTCTCTATGTCTATGTCTCCATTGTTGCTCTGAAAACAGATTTGTCATTACCATCCTTCTAGATTCCACATATGTGTTAATATATGACATTTGTTTTTCTCTTTCTGACTTACTCTGTATAATAGGCTCTAGGTTCATCCACCTCTAGAACTGACTCAGATGGGCTCCTTTTTGTGGCTGAGTAGTGTTCCATTGTATATATGTACCACAGCTTCTTAATCCATTCATCTATGATGGACATCTAGGTTGCTTCCATGTCTTGGCTATTGTGAATAGTGCTGCAATGAACGTTGGGGTACATGTGTTGTTTTCAGTTTTGGTTTCTTCAGGGTATATGCCTGGAAGTGATATTGCTGGGTTATATGGTGGTTTTATTCCTAGTTTAAAGGAATCTCCTTACTGTCCACCATAGTGGCTGTATCAATTTACATTCCCACCAGCAGTGTAGGATGGTTCCCTTTTCTCTACACCCTCTTCAGCACTTGTTTTTGGATTTTCTTGATTGTGGCCATTCTTGGGCTCCAGAATCACTGCAGATGGTGATTATAGCCATGAAATTGAAAGATGCTCCTTGGAAGAAAAGCTATGACAAACCTACACAGCATATTAAAAAGCAGAGACATTACTTTGCCAACAGACGTCTGTATAGTCAAAGCTATGGTTTTTCCAGTAGTCTTGTATGGATGTGAGAGTTGGACCATAAAGAAGGCTGAGTGATAAAGAATTGATGCTTTTTTGAACTATGGTGATGGGGAGGATTCTTGAGATTCCCTTGGACTGGAAGGAGATCCAACCAATCAATTGTAAAGGAAATCAGTCCTGAATGTTCATTGGAAGGACTGATGCTGAAGCTGAAGCTCCAATACTTTGGCCAACTGATGGGAAGAACTGACTCATTGGAAAAGACCATGATGCTGGGAAATACTGAAGGCAGGAGGAGAAGGAGATGACAGAGGATGAGATGGTTGGATGGCATCACTGACTGTATGGACATGAGTTTGAGCAAGCTCTGGGAGTTGGTGATGGACAGGGAAGCCTGGCATGCTGCAGCCCATGGGGTCACAAAGAATTGGACACAATTTAGTGACTAAACGACAATAACACAAAGCCGATTTACTTCAGTGTAATTGCAACTGGTCTCCTGAAGTGTCCTCTTGGAGAAGAGGAGATATCGCAGGTCCAGGAGCTGGGATGGGAGGAGCTGAGACAGGCTGTGGTTTAGGGTCTTAGCTCATAATACACAAGCTGTCACTGTGTGCCTTTGTTTCAGTGCATGGATTACACACGTGTGTGTTAAAATCTTTGGTGATTCAGGCAACAGAACTTCTTGTGTCTCTATCATCCATGGATAAGTCTTTTTCTTTTAAAAGAAACCTGTTCGTGGTATATGTTTTGTTTTGTTTTTTTTTTTTTTTAAATCATCAAAACCTTAAGATACATGGCTCTGTCTAGTAGTATCTGGGGGCCACAATTACATTACAAGTAGAGTGGTAGAGCCATTTTGGTTTTTAGCTTTTTTGGAGACAAATAGCCCTTCCCTGAGGGTGTCTGTGTGAGGGAGGCAGGGACAGCTGCAGCTGTAAGGTTACTGCAGCAGCCTAGGGGATCACCTGTTTGCACAGGTGAGGTAAGGACTTTTCGATCAGATGCCCTGATTACTTGTCTCTAGGTGGGCTAGTAGGGAGGTATCTGTGGCCAGTGGGGGAGATAGTGTGCCCTTCTGGGTCAGAACAGAACAGAACAAGATAAGGATCATTTCTTTAAAAACACTTAAAAATCCTGGCTTAAAAAAAAAGTGAAGTCTCCCCAAGTTGTGTTATCCTGAAAAGAGAGATAGGAAAACTTGGTCCCCTGAGGATTTAAAGATGTCAATGTGGATTCAAATCATGCCATGTGGCACAGCCAACAAAAGGTAGATGCAGAGTCAGGTGGTCCTCCCGAGTGATGGCTAATTAGAGTACTAATTGAAAAAGATGTAAGTCTGATTGTCAAGGCATGTCTGTTGCATGTTAAGGCAAAATAATGTGGTGTTTAACACCTGGGGCTCAGGAACAAGTCTGCCTGGCTTCAAATCCTGGATCCATTACTCAGCAGAGAAAAGACCAGGGGTAACATAATAAACCGCCCAAAGCCTCAATTTCTCCATCTGAAAATGGCCAGTGTCTTACTTAGGTGTGTATCCTCCTTCCTCCTCTCTTCCCCATCTCTCCTGCATGGACACCATTTAGGTGTTCACCCCCATCATGCCCCCAAAACCATTCTTGTCCGGTCCCCCACTGACCTCAGTGTTGCTGCAGCCAGAGGTCAGTTGTCAAAATCCTCAACTTGCTTGGTTCACCAGCCACACCCAACCCACTAGCATACTTTCTCCTCTCCAAAACTTTCTTCTGTTGGCTTCGTGTTCTGATTTTCCCAACCAGCTGGCAGGCTGCTTCTCTTTTTCTGGCTGTTCTTCTTTCCCTTGACTTCACAAGGTTGAACCATTTCTAGACCCATTCTGTCCTGTTTGCAATGAGTCCCTTGGAGATCTCCTCTCATCCTGTGCTTTAAATAACATCAAAGTGAAAGTGAAAGCAGCTCAGTCATGTCCCACTCTTTGCAACCCCATGAACTAGTTCATGGAATTCTCTAGGCCAGAATACTGGCATGGGTAGCTTTTCCCTTCTCCAGGGGATCTTCTCAACCAGGGATTGAACTGGGGTCTCCAGCATTGCAGTCAGATTCTTTACCAGCTGAACTATTGGGAAAGCGATTTAAATAACATCAAGATGGTGACAAAATCCTCATTCTTATCTGTAGCCCAGACCTCTCCTGGACTCCAGACACATGCTTCTGCCTACCCCCTTGGCTTCCCCACTCTAATGGATGGTCTGCTTGACACTTCATCTCACAGG